GGGGGCGGTTCGTGGTGGAGAAGAGCAGCGTGAGGGTGCTGGCGCCGGAACACATCCGGGGCCACCACGACGCCGCCATCGGCAACTTCGGCGTGCCCGATTACGGCGGCACGCTCACGGGCGTCGTGCTCTACCCGGACAAGAAGGCCACCGGATGCGCCGAGTTCCCGGGCAAGTTCAAGTCCAAGTCCGGCCGCCCCGTCGTCCTCCTGCTCGACCGCGGAGGTACACACGCCACACAAGCTCGCTCAGCAATTATCTTCAGCCATTAGCCCTGCTGATTTGATCGATTGATTCATTCATGGCTTCGGCCAATTCTCACGGGGAAGACATTGCTGATGCGTGACTGTGCGAGCTTGAATATATATTAGCCTATTACGTACACATGCTAATTAATTTAGTGCTAGTAGTATTTCTTTAATCCTGTTGATGTAGATATATCTCCAACTTAGATATGAAAGATTGTGACCAAAGCTTCTTTTAATCTTTTTTTTTCAAGAAACTGAACTTCTTTTAGTCTGCGGTGGGGGAAAGGGACTTTACAATTCTGGACAGCTAGTGGATAGTATAAATTTTGCCCGGTTCCATTCAGTCAGCTGTTTTGTAAAAGGTAGAATCAGGCGACTTTTCTAGGTTGAATGTCATCTAAGTGGCCAAAAATTCGAATTCAAGTGAAATTTACAAAAAAAAAGTACCAAATTCAAACGCAAACCGTCTTGCTCGACCGTGGAGGTACATACACACTTCTGATGATGCTAGTCCGTGATTTGCCTTATTAACGGTTTTGGCTAATTCTCGTGAGGAAGGAACTGTTGAAATTCATGTCAAAGTGAAATTACTCGAGTTTGATTGCGCAAGTTTGACCTTGCCGACGATTTATGGCTATTTTGCGTCAATCTCTTGGTAAATGTCAGAGCCGTGCTATTGATGGGTTAAGTCAATGTGCTAATCTTAAATAGGCTAACATGCCAATTACTTTAGTGCCACTAGTGGTATTTTTTACTTGTTTATGATGTGGATTGGTCTCCAACTTAGATATACGAGAGACATTATGATCACAACTTTTTAAAACTGCGGTAGGGGAAGGGAGTTCAAACTCTGATCTGCTAGTGGTCATTGAAAAGGTAGAATCAGGAGGCTTTTCTTGGTTGAATACCATGGAACTAGTCAAAAATTTGAATAGCTGGCGGAATTTATTTTAAAAAACATCAAATGCAAATGCAAATCTGTGGAAACATGCAAACTAAAACAGAATTTGTAAAAGATTAAGCTAATATTTTCCTGATGGATTATCTTCATTGTCTGCGTCAACAGTTTCAGATAACTGCCTGACCTGACAGTTCTGAACAAAGAAAGCGAAATGAGTAGATTCACACATGCATGTAGTACACACTTATTATACAGCCATTGCATTTGTTGGTGCGCATTTCATTTGATCCAACCATCACAACGCACCTGATCACAACACTTCCACTACCAACTCCAATTAGTTGGTGCCGCAAGCAATTCCTTCAAGCCAAAGACAGAATCAGACAGACCAACAATCTGTCTCATCCTTCCTTGATTAAACCCCAAGCAAAGAAAGAAATAATTCCACACCTTCAATTTCAAGAAACATAAAAGATGAACGAACTCAGGTACAAAACTGTAGCTGTAAAACTGACGGCGTAACGACGTTTGTACTGTCCCAACAGAGTGCTACTTCGCGCTCAAGTCGTGGAACGCGCAGCAGGCAGGCGCGGCGGCGGTGCTGATCGCGGACACGGTGGACGAGCAGCTGCTGACCATGGACACGCCGGAGGCATCCCCAGACACTCGGTACCTCGACAAGCTCAACATCCCGTCGGCGCTGGTGAACCGCGCCTTCGGGGAGTCGCTGAAGCGGATGGCGGAGAAGGCCGACGCGGAGGGGGAGGTGGTGGTGAAGCTGGACTGGCGCGAGTCGATGCCACACCCGGACGAGCGCGTGGAGTACGAGCTCTGGACCAACAGCAACGACGAGTGCGGCCCCCGGTGCGACGAGCAGGCGGCCTTCGTCAAGAGCTTCCGCGGGCACGCCCAGATCCTGGAGCGCGGCGGCTACGCGCGCTTCACCCCGCACTACATCACCTGGTACTGCCCCGAGGCGTTCCGGCTCACGCGCCAGTGCCAGTCGCAGTGCATCAACCATGGCAGGTATGTACGCCCGCCATTGCCGGTCTAGGAAGCTTCCTCTGGTACCTGTCATGGCATGGCAAGGAACAATGTGGTTGGTTACTGGGTGTGCAGGTACTGCGCGCCGGACCCGGAGGAGGACTTCGGGGAGGGGTACGAGGGGAAGCAGGTGGTGGTGGAGAACCTGCGGCAGCTGTGCGTGCACCGGGTGGCCAACGAGAGCGGGCGGCCGTGGGCGTGGTGGGACTTCGCCATGGACTACAAGCTCCGCTGCTCCATGAAGGAGAAGAAGTACAGCAAGGCGTGCGCCGAGGAGGTGGTCACCGCGCTGGGGCTGTCGCTCGACAAGGTGCTGGCGTGCATGGGCGACCCAGACGCCGACGCCGACAACGCCGTGCTGTCCAAGGAGCAAGAGGACCAGATCGGGCGCGGGTCGCGCGGGGACGTCACCATCCTGCCCACGCTCGTCATCAACGACGTCCAGTACAGAGGTATGGCTGGCTGGCCGGCTGTCGCTGTACCGTCCGTCTCTTTGATTTCTCCGGCGACGAAGGAACTGACATGATTGTGTTTTGTGCGTGCAGGGAAGCTGGAGAGGACGGCGGTGCTCAAGGCCGTGTGCGCCGGCTTCAAGGAGGGGACCGAGCCGCAAGTCTGCCTCAGCCATGGTGAGCACCAAGGCCTTCATTTCCGACGACAAGACGGCGAAACGACGATGAACTTCTGACGAGCTTTTCTACGCAGACATGGAGACGAACGAGTGCCTGCACCGGAACGGCGGGTGCTGGCGGGACGAGGCGACCAACGTGACGGCGTGCAGGGACACGTACCGGGGCAGGGTGTGCGAGTGCCCCGTGGTGAACGGCGTCCGCTACGACGGCGACGGGTACACCCACTGCAAAGGTAAACCTACCTACACTTTTCTCTTCATTCACACGACGGCGCTAGGAAAATACTACCGGCGTGCTCATGTTTCTCCCCTGTTTGTTCGTCTCAGCTGTAGGTCCGGGCAGGTGCGCGCTGAACCACGGCGGGTGCTGGTCGGAGACCAAGGGGGAGCGCACCTTCTCCGCCTGCTCGGTACAACCTCCCTTCCCCTCTACTCCTAGACTTCAGACACAGTTCCACTCATTACACAACCTCTGAAGCTCATCGTCTACCTACCTATCCATGATCTCTGCTAACCTACGAACTCTGAACCAGGACACGGCGCTATCCGGATGTCGGTGCCCGCCGGGGTTCCAAGGCGACGGCCACAAATGCGAAGGTAAGATCTCGCTCCACAGATTCCTCACTCGAGACTGACATGAGACATGGTCGAGCAAGAGAGTAACAGATCCGAGTTTCAGACCTGGACGAGTGCAAGGATAAGCTGGCGTGCACCTGCCCGGACTGCCACTGCAAGAACACCTGGGGCAGCTACGAGTGCGGCTGCAGGGGCAACCAGGTGTACATCCGCGGGGAGGACGTCTGCGTGGCCAACAGCATGTCCAGGTTCGGCTGGCTCGTCGCGGTCCTCGCCGTTTCCTGCGCCGCCGGCCTAGGGGTCGCCGGCTTCGTCTTCTACAAGTACAGGCTCAGGGTATGTTCGTCACCATCCTTCTCCCCAAAGCAAATGGTTAACCAAGAAGACCTCTAGTGCAACAAAAACTGACTCTTGGTGTCTCATTTCCTACTAGTCGTACATGGACTCAGAGATCATGGCGATCATGTCTCAGTACATGCCGCTCGACAGCCAGAACAACGAGCACCAGCCGCTCCGGCAGCATGCTTCAGACGCCTAAAGGTAATAATAATCCTTCAGCCAAGTGTGAGTCCTAGTAGGTTACCAATGCAACAAATGGTTATTTTTGCACTAAACCACCCCTGAACATGCTGCATCTGATGAACAGGGAGCAGATGGAGATGGGTTTGGGTATGGAAGCGTGCAGAGTCTTCAACCGTACTCTTGGCTTCAACCATACCGGGCAAATACTTTGCTATGATGCTTTTCAAAGATTTTTTTTGTTACTACAACTTCCCTTTCTATATATAGAAGAAACAAGAGAACCAAGGTTTGTACAAAGCAGGCCGCAGGGGTGAGGTGTAGATACATAGCTAGGTAGGCATTTCTGCTCCCCTTGTGACTGTGGATCGCAGCACATTAGACAGAATACTTTCACTAAGAACATACAAAGTGTGATGTACAATGGATGATAACCAATACCAGCACTGGTGTTTCTGTCATTTTTAAGGTCTGTCTTCTTGAATGAATGCCCTCGTCGAAACACCGGGGGCTTTATTGTGACATGTATCAATACTGTTGTAAGTGCTACAGTTTCAGAATCAATGGTAGGCATACAGGTGATAACTTGCTACTTTTCTAGTAGGTCCTCACTGGTAACCCGGCGACGGGTCCATGATGTGATTCTGGTGATCCTATTTAGGCACAAGACTTGTGTGCCCTGAAAACAGGACTCCATGCAGAGAGCTCACTAGCTTATGAAATAAATAGCATTTCATTTCTAAAATGGTCAAAATATGTGATCCATAGTACAAGAGGAAAGAGACCACGCCATGATCATTCAAGCATCCATTATCTCATTAGTGCCTTAAAGAGGTAAGGGAGTTTCAGGGTTGTCGTAAACAAATGGCGACGACACTTCTAGAATCAAATGACGATAGGAAAATCTCACAAAAGAAATATCCACTTTCCCAGTGATTTTATTTGCCTAACTACCAGCCCGTAGAAAGAAGACTGGCTGCATGGATTGAATATAACATTACACCTTCTCCCAAAACAAGGAAAATCCGCTAAATCTTCTTAGGGGCTAAATGAGATCTTACAACAGTGCATCAGAAGCCTTTTACTTGTATTGCTCTGAAACTTCACGAACAAACTTGTCCATGAATTGACACTTCTTGTCAAAACCCCAACCAGGATTATTCTGCAAAACACAAGAAGGCACAGCCGAATAGTAGCTAAGTAGCAAGCAGGAAGCAGGTTTTGTCTAAGAAAACAAAAGATACGAATACTGAAATACATTAAGTATCAACACATAAATTATCCTTTTAAGGTACTATCTAGAACAGCACACTAAGATGTGAAATGCAAACGATTATCATCTTTTTCCTTCAAAAACTATGGAGACAAATGGCATTGCATATTTTGAGTTTACAATGCTAGCTGCAAATATTTCAATATGTGATGCTCATATCCATCAGCACTTTATAACAAGCTGACTTTTAGCATATGTGTTTAGCCAACTTCAAAGTTAGATAGTATCAGCCATTTGCTATCTTTGAGGAAGAAGTGCAAGCACTTATAGATGTATCTGACACCCATACAGACATACAGCTAGATAGGGGATGTTCAAAGACCAGAGTTTTTTTTTTCGGAAGAGATGGCGGCCGTAGTTAAAATCATGTTTCGTATGCTAACAGAAGGCTGATCTATTTTTAAACAAGCTGACTATTAATGGTTATGTTAGAACCCGCCAAATAAGACAAGAATCATGTTGCTTCCGTTACAACTAAACATTCAGCAGCTCAATTACTCAAAAGGCTAAATTGATTGACTCATGATACTATGCTGTCTAGAGCATCAGTTGTAATAAGAAGGCTAACCTTGAGAGAAAGTAAAGTTTTATCAGTAAACCGCTTTACTGAATTGGGTATGTTTGCTGGAAGAGTGTTGGCAACCCTTTGCAGCTCCCCTTCTTGCTGTATTGCAGTTACGACATCAGGCCCACTGTACATATCTATCATCTCTTTCATATGGGGTGCCTTTAAAATGATATCGGCCACGGCATCCTAAGAATGATACAGTAGATTAGTGGGTCAGTTGAAACCCTAAAAAGAACTCATATGGCAGCAAAGTGAATGCAAGTACACAACTGTGAACTGCTAACGTATAGATGTAATTTGAAATTTAGGGTACACTAAAAGCTGAATTCCAAAATCAGAGATGCTTCTTTCTACAAATCTGGTCAGTATCTGGAAAGTATAACCGTCTTACCATATTAATGATGAAACTATTGAGACGTTCATGCCTTTCTGCAAAGATAATCTACAAAACTTAAATCCAATGTATTTGGCAAACTACCTTTATTTGGAACAGGAAACTCATCTGATAGTTTAGCAGTTTAACCTTATCAGCCAGGTCGAACCAGAAAATTGACCTTGGAAAGTTAGATATTCTATGTAAACCTCATACTGACTCCACATCATTTACAAAAATTATGCATATCAGCTTATAACACCAGAATATTATCAAAGTAGATCTGAGATTTAACAGCAAATCCACGAATACCTTTTCGACCACGATATAGGTAGTTCTATATGTATACTACTGGACAAAGTTAGGAGAAGTTTGATTGCCAACATAACACGAGGATATAAATTGCAAACGGGAGCTGTACTATTTTGATATTATTCTCTGGTCCATTATTTATTTATCAAGTCTAACGCAAGCAGTCTCGTATCATCCAAATATAGATATGTACCCATTACGCGAGCTATAACAGCAAAGCAAGGTAAAAAAAACTTGCCCGATAGACTTACTCTGGCACACTCCGATGTATTTGGTGACTTGTTGCAAGAAATACAAGTATATCATAAGAAAATATCTACTTGCACAAACATTTGCAGGGTGAAACAGATATGGCATGAGGACAGTTAAACAAATCACCTCCCATTCTTCCTGGTCCTGGATGCCTTCATAAGCAACTATGAATGGCTTTACTTTCTCCAGCATCTCCTGCAATGACATAGGCGGCTTCTCCTCAATATCAGGATTACCAAAGCTCACATTGTACTCTGGCTCAAACTCAATCTGCACACACAAACATTCAAAGATAAAAAAACATCAGGGATCCAACAAGCACACACAGATCTTATAATTTTGATAACTCTGATGCAGTGCAGAGCGCACCATGTTATCGGTATGAATATCGTCGAGAAGCTTATCATTCTCCGGGTTTGGCAGTGCCTCATCTGCTGCCTCATCGAACGCCTCGTCCCAAATCTTCATTTTCTCAGGCCCAAGCCGCTTCTCGAGTTTCTCGCCATCAGCATTGTCACCCAAGAAGATCTTTTCCTGCTCGTTGACGTCAGCAGGCCGACGGCCACCGTCCCGGCCACCTCCGCGGCCCCCACGCCCCCCTCTCCCGCGTCCACCGCCAGTATCGCCACGGCCAAGGAGCTCCAAAGCACGCTTCACAGCCTCCTGTGGCGCCAATTTCGGCTGCCCGCTTGGAGCCGACGGGGCCGGAGCTTTCCTTGCCCCACGACTTCGAACGAAGCGGTTCTCCTCGGGGGCCCTGTCCACCGGTGGCTGCACACGCGGCACGCCGCGGCCGGCGCCGGAGGTAGGGATCGAACGCGGCGGCTCGGATGAGGAGGAGGCAACGGTGGCTAGCGGCTCCTGATTGGAGGGGGGAGGGACGGAGTCGAAGCGCTTTGCGAAGGTGGGTTGCTTGGGGGCATCTTCGTCGGATGGCGGCGGCGGCGGGGGAGGGGGCAGCGGGGATCCACGGCCGCGGCCAGCGCCAGAGAAGGACGAGAAGGACGGGGTGGTGGGGGAGGGCGGGATCACGGGCTCCCCGCGGCCACGGCCGGCAGAAGATGATGCGGCGAAGAGATCCGCCCCATTGTCGTCCTCGGGGATAGGCCTCCCGGGAGCGCGCGGCGGCGCGGAGGCGGAGGGCGGTAGGCCGCGCCCGCGCCCGCGCCCTGCGCCACCACTGCCCCCGATGCCGGAGAAGGAAGAGAACGCGGCAGCGTAGGAGGAGGGGAGGTGCGCGTGCCGCCGGGCGGCGGCGGCGGCTGCGGCGGCGCCGATGCCTCGCATGGTGGTGGTGGGGATGGGTTTAGAGCGCGCGATGCAGGCTAGGGTTGGGCTCGCGAGGTGTTCGACGAAATGGGCTGTGGAGTGGGGCCTGGAAAGAATTTCGATCCGGCGTAAATCGAGGCCATTGGATCTCAGTCTATGGTTGTATTTTAGCCGTCCGATCTTCGTTTTCGCTATTCCCCTTCCATCTCTATCTCTATAGGCCTAATGCGTTTTTCAAGGTTAATTTTAAGCAAATGTAAGAGCAATAATATATGACATGCAACTTACATAAAGCATACCGTCAAACTCGTATGCGAAAAGAGTTTTCAATGATATAATTTTCACATTATGCATTGTCATGTACTATTAATTTTGTCAATTGTTAAATATGGTCTTGAAAAACGCTTTAGGCCCTATATATAAATGAAAGGAGGGAGTAGAAGATTTGAGAGCGATATTCCACTTTAACGTATGGTCACTTGTCCTTATAAAATCAGTACAGTTACTGAGCTCCCAAAAAATTGCGCTATGTGCATCGACGGATATAGCAGGCACGTGGGACCAGAGGCGGAGGCAGTGAGGGCGAGCGGGGGCTAGACCCCCCTCTATGGTTCGGCCCCCCTCAACGAGTTGCAACGGGGACTAGCCTGTTCACTGGTACTAGTATCTCTACTCATAATGGAGCAGTTGATGAATAGTCCGCACGGTTTATTTTTGCTGGTTTATTTTCGTCATCCTTCTATCTCCGTTTTTTTCGTCATCCTCCCACGCATGTTAACTCGCTACCCTCCTGCGAAAAAAATCGGTGCCAAAAAAAACCATCGGATCGAGCCAACAGCAGATCGTTCTCCGCCGCCAACCTGCCCTCCGCACGCCCGATCCACCCCGTCGCCCCCTCGGCGGCCGATCCATCCCTTGCCGCGGCCGATCCAATCCTTCGCCCTCTCGTGCGCTAGGGTTCCTTGAGTTGCCGCCGCACCGGAGCTCCTCGCCCAGCCCCACCTCCTGCCGCTCCACCCACTGCTTCTCCCTCCGCTCGCTGCACTTGCCCTCTCCGCCGCGCCCGCCTTCCCCGATGGTCGCCCCCTTCCCCGTCGACCCCGGAGAATCGGCGCCTTGAGGTTGGGGAACTCGGCAGCCATGATCTGAAGGACGTAGGGAAGCCGCCCCCCTCGCCGGATACAACCTAGGTTATTGAGGTGCTACGGGGCTAGAAGCTCAACCAACGATAGCAGGACGGCCGACCGATCTGGGCCAGCGTGGAAGGAGAACTCGGCGGCGGCTCGGCCAACTGTTCTGGGATGTTTTGGTGAACTCTCCATACTGCTGCGCGTATAGGTGTGTACTAGCCTGACCGCTCACTCCCCTGGGATCCGATAATAAGTTCACATAGAGTTCGGCCGGCGGTGGCAGCTCCGCCAATAGTCGTGCGATTAAGGCTTCACAATCAGCAGATTAGAAGACTGATTTAGCGCTAGGATCCATCGCCATTGGAGGGCCTTGACTTCTTTTCATTCCTTGCGAGAACGGTTCTTGCCATGAACGACGGGGCTCTCTCTGTGGCCCTGGTCTAAAAGCTAAAATAGTGAACAAGATGTGTCTTGCCATTTGCAGTATTGGGTACGTATCTTTTGCACTTGCTCCCTAAAGAAGCAATCAGATAGATTAACTACAACCCAAAAGCAGCAGCCTGTTACTATTTTATATCATCTATTGATGATTTGTTTTTTCAGAATTGCATTGGCAAGTGATGAAAAGGTGTAATGTTCACGGATTTTTGTTGGGTGATCTGTTGGTCCGGTTTAATTTTAGCAGGCATCTGGGTATTGTTTATGAATTGATGGCGCACCTTGCTTAAATCCTACTAACAATCTTCTCAACACGTGTCATTGCTTTTTGTTAGATGCATTTAACACATTTAGGAAGGACGTTTCAAGGGCCTTCTTTCTCGATCTGGAGCCCACTGTTAGTAGATTATGGCAGGCTACTCAAAGTCAGTTTCCTCTTCTATCTTTCATCATTGCCTCATAGATACTATTATGATTGTTGCATTTCAAATTTTTTGCAGATATGTCATGTTGTTGAAACTTTTTTGTATTTGCAATGATATTGGTGTTGGACCATTAGAGTATATATGCCCCGTTGAACGTGGGCGGGTTGGCGAAGGGCGTGTCTGCGGCCGACCTGGAGGTCGTGTTCGGCTCCATTGGCTGCGTCGCTGGTGTTGAGTTCGTGCGCACCAGTGGCTGTAGCTTCGCCTACATCGACTTCCACTGCCTCTCCCACGAGGTCATGACCAAGTTGTTCTCCACCGTAAGCATCCACCACCCCATCAACAATCTCCTTGTAACTATGTTTCTACACTTCGACAACAATTAATACTAGCAGATTAGGGTTTTGTTGATTCTCCACATTACCGTGTGCATTCTGTGGTTTGAATGGAGAATTTTGTGTTTGAGGTGAGTAGAGCTTTTACCAACTTAATAACAGAGGATGGTGCATGCAGTTGCTATGGGTTCTCATAGTTCCCCTGTCTCAGTTTATTGGAATGGCGATTCAAGAAGGAACATCATCTTGTGGATGGACCATAGGGCTCTTGACCAAGCCGAGCGAATTAATTCTCACAATTCACCGATATTGCAATTTAATGGTGGGAGTGTCTCCCCAGAAATGCAAGCTCCAAAGGTAACCGCTTTTTTCTCCATGCATATGATTCTCCTAAATTCCTGATTCATTATTTGTAAAAACCACTAATGATGTTGTTGGGCATCTGAACCATTGTGTTGATTGCCATGTTGTCAGTTATCACTTCACAATCCTAGAGGTTTGGCTTCAAAATCTCAGAATGTCAGAATTCCAGCATTTCAAAAGCTGAACAACACACTATTCCTAAAAAGATGTTTCGTTTGCTTGCAGGATATGGATAAATAGTTTTGAATTATTTTGTAGTGAGAAGGTCGGTATAAAAGGTTTGTTGTGTATTTTACAGTTATCTCCATTGATGGTATCGTATTAACTTACCTTTTATAGATTTTATGGGTAAAGGTAAATCTGCAAAAATCTTGGTCTATGGTATATAGGTGAGTTTCAAATCATAACCTCTCTAAGCCTGTAATAAGCTATGAGTTGAATTTCTATCAAGTTTTGCTTTCATTGTTTTTTTCTAGGGCAACTGGTGACCAACTGGTGATTAGTCTGGCTTTAATTCATTAAAACGTGGTTTACCCCTGTTTTATTTGGGGACTAACTCATGAGCTCACGATTAGCCCACGAGTGACCCCTGGTGTTCACCTAGAACATGTGAATAGCTGACCAAGTATTTTTAGGGCATCTGAGTATGCCACTGGTGATGTACTGATATCTGTTGTTCGAACTCAAAATTGTCCAGAGTTTAATCCTGGTTTTCACCCAAGGTTTTAACTTTCATTCGATCAACATTTTAAATGTATTGTATACTTCAACTTTTATCTGCTCTTATGACGAAGAAGTTCCTTGCTTCCCTGTTAAATATTATATAAATGCATGTGAACTATAGGGAATTATTTTCTAACATTCATACTAGAATAAACTATTTTCAGTTTTCAGGTTATGCCTTTCTTGCAATGATTGCATATGTGAAGTTGATGCTTAATTACTTCCTACATTTAGAAGATTGTAACTTTTGCTATATAAACATGCATGGTGAGATGAAGGGTTGATGAGTGATATGCATTTTGCAGATCAGGTTATATTTCCTTGGTAGCATGGCAGTAGCACCCAATCAGACCACAGCCTCGGCGGGTGTGCTCTGCGATCTTGGCCACCGTCGGCAGGTTCGACCTCCGCCGCCACTGAAAGCTGCCCCTGCTCATCACCATATCAACGCCGGTGAGCTCTCCCTCTGCTCTCGCCGCTACCCAGCTCCATCCACTATCTTCCACAATATTGTTGCGACTTTGTAATGACTAGCCCAATTTTCTTTAATGATGTTATGTATTTTGGTGAGTCGATGATTTTCTTTCAAATCTACAAATGGACACGTTTGTCTAACCATTATGTAAAAGGTTGGAATCCATAATATGTGAAATTCCGACACAGTTGCATGAAAAAGTGAGTATTGAGTAGGGATGTAATTCTCGCCGATTCAAATATCAGAATGTGTTCCAGAGACATAACAAAACCATCCTGAATCTTACGTTTTTAGCATGCTGAGATCTGCGCTACTGTATATACTTCTAAATTACATGGTAGAGATTTTGAATATCGGCACCTGATCTTTTATCTTATAATATATCAGATGTTCATGGTTAGCATCAAGGAATTGTTTTGAGACTTGTATCCATTTTTTCCCTGGTAAAATCGATGACCGTCCGTGTTGGTGACCTATTGATCTTCTAATTTCTATATTCGCAAAAAAAAGATCTTCTAATTTCTAAAGATGTCTCTGACTTGTTCACATGCCAATAAATATAAGCTGCATCAAGTGAGCTTTCCTGTCAATAAGTAGCGACACTTGCAGAGGCGACTTGGATCAGGGAGCATATGGAGCGACACTTGCAGAGGCGATGTCAGCGGCTGTCGAGTGCTGACCCACCCGTTGGCTACCTCTGAGAGTGGCACATGGTACTGAATCAACGCCAATTCCCTCGCCATGCCCCTTCCCTGGTAATGACCCAGGCTCCACTCATCTCTGCTCCACTAGATGCACTTTCCTCCCTTAGGCTTTCATTTTTTTTAGAGCTGCACTTTCTCGCCTCGTTAAGCAAGTGATATACAAAGTGGAGCAAGAATTAACACCATGGAAGAAGAGGAATACAACTTTTTGTGGTACGTGACATATCCGATGAAATGTAGTGCAGCCAGGTACTACGTATTTTAAATTTTGCATGAGGGCCGCCACCCACATACCACGTCCACAATCCTCGCGAGAGGTATCACTCCTATCCCCTCACCGTCTCACCTTCCTCCTGCGCATTACTTTTTTTTGGCTCACTTGCAGTTGTTTTGGTTCATCATTGGTCTAAAAAAAAGTACTACAT